CCCCCCCCCCCCCCCCCCCCCCCCCTTTCCAACTCGTACATCCCCTGATCTCGTTGCGAAATTGGCACTGCACAATTCTTAATCGCGGTGAAGCACTTGATTCTCTATATATCATTTTCCACACCATCATTATAAAGTAGACCATGGTGGATTTGATGAGACCTGACAGGAGCTGGTCTTTGTCTACGACGCGGTGATTCATGGCCAGTGTCGTCTCTACTATCGTATTAAAAAGAAATCGAAAAAGTGTTGGCGGCGATGTACGCAAATCTCCAGAGAGGGTCTTTCAATATCCAATCTCCAAAGGCTGCATTCACAGCCCGCCGCCGGGGGCGGCGCTTGCGCCCTGATTACAACTGAATTTTGGTCGACATCGCCGGCCGAGTAGTCCCCCTGCCGGCGGACTATGAAAGCAGCCGGGGGACGGAACTTACGTGCGTCCGGGGATGCGCGCGGCAAATTGCGCGGCGAAGTGCGTGATGTCTCGAACGGCTCTGACGCCTATCATTGGGGCCCAAATTTGATGTAGAGTAGATCGGTAGTATCAGCTGACCCTACTAATCTACTATACTTCAAATTTGGCTCCCAATGATAGGCGCCAGACTCGTTCGAATCACCACGCACTTCGCCGCGCAATTCGCCGCGCTCATCCTCGGACGCACGTATGTACCCATACCCAAAGCAGCCAAACTCTCGCAGGCAAGCACGCGGTAGTGGCTTCGTGTCAGCTATAGTTGTCATCTAGTGGAAATTTCTATCCTACCTTTACACTCCTGCCAATGAATCTCCTTTGGCTCTCTCTCACTGAAGGATCTTTAGCCAATTGGTGACTAGAGTACGTGGCCCGACTCCACACAAGTGCATGGGAACGGTTCAGGATGCAGTTGCTTGCGCCATGAAATCGAAGAACAGCTGTGACGGAGGCGATAGCGCAATGACCGTTGGATCAAGGTGGCTACTGAATGGATCCTTCAGTAGAAACGAACACCGGTGTGGCGTCAGCGCCATGGTTAGGCTGTCTTTTGAAAGCTTTGAACGAAGGGAATACTATGTCTCGTGTCCCTCGAGCAGGTATGATCCACAGGTCCACCCCGGCTTCTGACAGGGTCGAGTGGCACCCGCTCAAGGATAGAGGAAGTGAGGAAACACAGGTGGTACAGCTGATGCCCTTAGACTGGCTGCTATCACAGACGACTAGCACGTTGTTCGGGCAGAATCGTGAGTGTACGTTCTTCTACCCGAACGGCAGGCAGCGCTCGCCGTGAGTATGGGTACATACATTAGTCCGAGGTTGCGCGCGGCAAATCGCGCGGCGAAGCTCATAGCGGTTTTGAGGACTTCAGCGCCTATTATTGGGGCACAAACTTGAAGTAGAGTAGTAAGAAGGGTCAGCCGGTCTACTTACCTACTCTAATTCAAATTTGGGCCCCAATGATAGGCGTGAGTTTAGGCGCCGCGCACTTTGCCGTGCTCCTAGGGCGCTGGATGTTCCGACTCCCTCTCGCCGCATGTTGCCCAGTTGTGCTCTGTAAAGAGAGAAATTCGAGTTCCTGAATGATTGTTAGGTAATTACCGCGAGATCACTTCACTTGCAGTCGGAATTCGAAGGGAAACTCTATTCCCGAAAACAGCATGGAATGTCGCGTGTTGGAGAAATTAGAAGAGATAGGGTAAACAGCGGGCTCAGATTCTTCCACCGTGGATTCAAGTTGATGTTCGCCTGTCCAGAACTTCCCATATGTCTACAATTGAAGCCTGCAGGAAATGCCACGGACGTAACCATGAAAACAGATTGTTTAATATTCGCAAAATGCATAACTTATCAGTTAATGAAGTTCTGGATCCCCAGGACCACCATGAAATTCAAAGATAGCAAAGTTAAATAATCCATAGCTTAGTCATAATGGGTATTTCAAGAAGCAATTTACTCCATTTGGCATAGTATGACATTATGAGTAAACCTGTCTCATTACCTCACGGTGGTTTGGCGAACTCGTATGACCCCCAAAACGGTTCTTTGAACGCTCTGCTATTCTTCGTGAATGGGACAATGCTTTTTCGATTAACCTTTTTATATTTTTTTGACTGTTCGTTGTGTTCGTATCTCTAAGAGGAAAAAGAAGAATTTCGAAGTTTGTCGTTAAAAAGGCTCTCGTGGCGATACCACTCAAGATCCCTGCAAGCACGTGTTAATCGATGGCCTCTTTTGATGCTTGACTTTTTTGTCCTAGCAAACTTCGCTCTTACAATTAGATCAGTTTCAGCCATGTTGCGTATGGTGTCTAGCAACGCCATCACAAAGAGATGTTCTTCTGGTGGTTCTTTCTACGGGGGACGTAATTTTGACAGTTTCAAGAACACCTACACAGGAATACTTCGAGAAAGCAACAGTAAGCCTTAATTTCTTAGAGACATCTTCCGCGAACTATGCGATCCATCGTTCGAAGCAAAAAGCTTTTTCGATTACTACTATGATAACAATTTGCTTTTCCTTTAGAAGCACAGTTCACGTTAGAGTTGGTTTCTGAGGCCCCTCCATAAAATAATGACCCCTAAGAATAGCTGGGACTCTTTCTGGTCGAAAAACAGCCAAATAGGGCAACATAAGGGCCTCCTTATCATGCCCTATTTTAGCCAAGGCAAACGAGTTGTTAAGCGCTGCAGAGACTGTAGTGGTTGCACTATTCACACCGGACACACTCCTTGCACGCAGACAGTGTAGTGCAGCCAGATGTATGCAATGGCACGCTTTTGAACAGCTCGTCCAAAAACTCTTTTCATGTAGCTATTTTTCGTAACATTCTCATCCAGACCCTAACTTTCCTTCCTCTTTGAGAACTCATACTTTTCTGAATACACCGATTTTCGCCTTTTTCTAGCCTCTTTTGCACTATTCTAGACTGTCACTTCCATTACTCATCTAAAGCTGGATAACCCAAAATGATTGTGAACTGTGCCTTTGCTCCTCAATCGGATCGCTTGGTTAATTTTTCAAATGGCTCTTCCCTCAACTGCGATAATGATGAGCATCGCTAATAGGAAAGCATGCTCTTCTCCATTTCGTTTTTCCATTTCCGCGTTTTCTAAGGCCCAGTTCACGATAAAAATGACTTTTGAGGTTTGCCGCTACAATGAATTTGTAAGACCCCCGTCAGTTTGTAGGACTCCGTGGCGCTGTCATATCTGAAACGGCCTAGGTAGGGCGTTAGAAAGACTCAAATATTGTGTCGTGTGTACCCTCGGACGAGTTTCACTGGCATTGTAGAAGCTGCACCAATCGCAATAAAGTCAATGTAGGGGATCGAACAACATGTCATGACCCAGTGACAGTGGAAGGTAGTTCTGTACAGTTTTGGCTCAACATAGTCAGTTCTTTGCGCAATTGCAACAACTAAAATCTCGTCTGAATACCCTCTCCATGTTATTTCCATAGCTAAACTCGTCTACCACTATTATCCCTACCTCTCAAAAGCCTTATTTTTTTCGATACCGGCAAACTTTCTCGCCTTCTTCGCTACCAATGAACTATTCCCACCCTACACTTCCGCTTCCGACTCAAAAAGGGTACCCCAAATTTATTGTGGACTGTGCCTTTAGAGAACGGTGTTAATGCGCTGATAACCAGCACAATTGAAAGCGCTTCCCTGTGTAAAAATATAAAGGGGACGATTTGGGACTTATTATGTTTTGACAAACTGAGCTGTAGCAAGGTGCGATCTGAACCCCAGCCTATGTAAATTCGAGAAATAAAATCTTTTTCCTTAAGAAACTGGCATCACATGGAAGAAAATCTTCATGTATGCGTCGATTCCCTGTCTTGCGCTCACAATGTATGGTGCATACAAGGACCACTCTCATCACATGTCACATGAGAGACCGGAATACGTGGCCTATCCATTCTTGAACGTCAGGAACAAGGTTTACAACTAAGGGATCGTTGGTTGTTTTGTAATTTAGTCAAGCTTTCAAATTTCAGCCGTTCCCATGGGGAGATGGCAACCACTCGTTGTTCCATAATCCCCGAGAGCAATACGTTCCCGGCGTCGGATTCGAAGAAGAGCGAAAACACTAGTCTTGGCCAGGTATCCGGAGGGGGACAGATGAGTACGGGATTTCCGAAGCATTATAAGTCATCGGTTCTCAGCATTCTTTGCTAGAATATAGAATTAGCAATATGTATAGGTCAAACGACAGTATTCGGATCGTGTATTTGTATAGGTCGCTGTTATGTGATACTTGTATTTGGTAATAAAGTATCTGTTGAATCATTTTGGTGTAATCGAGACAGAACTCCCATTCAAGCCAGTTCCGAAACCGAATCTCTTCATCAGAGCATTTTTGAAGTTCTGCTTAGATCGACATCCCGAAGAAGCCGAGTCAATTGTTCTCGGTTTTCCCTTTTTTTGTCGTGAATTGCTTCAGACTTAAACTACTTGAAAGTTGGATATATTCATGAGATCAACCCGTCAACCTCTACGCGATGATGCTTTGCCTACTAAGTTCATACCCTTGATGAGCTTGAATTCAAGAGAATCTTCTGTTTTGAAGGGTAGAAGGCAGCGATGGAATCGATATAAGTTTTCGAGCTGAGTAAGAGCTCGGCAGGAATCAGGGGACCGAATAGATTACAATGTAATCAACTCCTTCTGTTATGTGGCTCTTAGTTTTAGTAAACGGGTTGCTGGTGAATCGACTACCTTTGTTTCTTTCCCAAGCCTACTAAACTCCTACACTGACTACTGTACGACTTTCCGGCACAAATGCCCTCACATGCTATAAAAATCACTCATCCATGGAGGTCTATTTTGCTCCCATTTTAAGCCTTATGTTCTTCTCTGGCCAATATCCTAAAAGTTGACAGCTCGCGATCCAAATGATCAGCGAAAAGAACAGAGCTAAGGGTGCACTCGCACGCAGGAAATGAATCATTGGTAGAAACAGGCATAACTTCAGGAATATTTCCTAATGGATCTGCCATTTTGCCAAGCAGTATGTTCTTCCTTTTGTTCACCGTATATTACGCGCCTACGTGAATTACAAATTGCTAGCCGACCCTTGGGAAACACGCCTGTGAAAAAACGGACAGTTGTGTTCTCATTGAGCAGTTCTCATTGGGGGTGTCTATGTATCCCTGAACATCCTTTGTTTTAAGGAATCGAACAGTATGCATTGCAAACGTGAAAAGTTAATAAAATAATAAGTGGTGATTAATTCACGAGGGTATGCTGATACAGAGCCCCACACAACAGAGAAAACCTTAGCATATAACCATGCCGAGCACCGAAATTGGCCAGCATCAGTTACTGACTTGACCGCTGAAATTCAGGGGAATTTTTTTACAAAATGAAGGGCATACTTCGAACTATTCTTGAATCAAGCTTTTCCTGATCTTAAAGGCACGGCTCACTATAATTTTGAGGTACCATTTTTAGTCGAAAAGTGAAAGTATGGGTGGGAATAGTTCATAGGTAATAAAGAAATCGAGGAAATTCGCCAATTTCGAGAAAAATAATACTCTTCAAAAGTGTGGGAAGTAGAGGTTGGGCGAGATCACCATGACGGAAATAACATACGAGGAGTATTCGGAGGAGCCACAACTTTATCAAAAAGGGATATATCATAAGCCATTTTCGTCGTGAGCTGTGCCTTTGAGCTCATCGACTTACCTCATTTATATATGCAACTTTCGGAAAACCCTACTTTTGACCGACCTGAAGGAGGAAAAATTAGAAAAAAAAGCGAAGTTGCGTCTTTTGCATTGATAGATAGATACGAGACTCTTTACGGTGGGTATTGTACATACTACCGAAAAAATAGTTAGTATGAGTCGTCGAGAAATTAACGGCCTCTACCAGATTGTCTCACTCCGACAATTGCCTGTGTGATCGTAAGTTCAGAAAGAAGCTCGAAATGCATAACATATTCTACAGCAACATATCAGAAAAATTGGCAGAAGATTTACTGCGAAAACTATTAATTGTGTCGCTTTCCTTCTATTTTGTCGAGGAAAAAGACAACGACAATGATGCAATCTTTCTCCGGGTTCCTTCTGTCCAAGACTCAGTTGCATCCATAATTGACTCCTGTGCCTAGAGCAGCGACCTGAATTTATTCGGTGAGTTACTTTTGGCTATTAATGGATGATACGGTCAGATAGAGTGCAGTGTCTTGCTGGAACAATTTTTACTATAACTAGAGAGCCACTACAGCCGAACCACTTCACATAGTTAACCCTCTCATACGTGCTGGGCTTTAGCACTGCATGCGAGGAACGGACTATTCCTTCAATGTTATCAGATTTCCTCACAGTGATACTAATATTTCTTCCAAGTACGGCTTTCTATGAACCTCGGCATAGTTGAATTGCTGTGTTTATTGTTTTCTGTAACTCTTCACGAGGTTTGTAAATGAGCTTTATTAGGCTGATGTTTCGGCGGGGTCGCCTTCTTTAGAGCCTGAAAGGATCATTACAATTTGTGACTATCCGACCAAACG